AACCAGACCTCAACATTTTGGAAGAAGACGAGCTCTGTAGCAAAAAGCAAAAGACCGGCAATACTGCAGGTAGAACATTTCCGTGTCATTTAAAATAACAGAATCGTAGAATCATTACGGTTGGAAAAAATCCCTAAGATCATCAAGTTCAACCATCAACCCAACACCACTGTGTCCACTAAACCATGTCCTAAAGGGCCACATCTATGTGTGCTTTGGACACCTCCAAACCAACCAACCAACCACCATATCCAACCTAACACTCCCCTGGCACAAAAAAACAGGTTTGGATTTGTTTTAGTTGGTTGGTTGGTTTGTTTGGTTTTTTTATCCCATGAATTGAACCTGAGCTCACTTTTTTAAAGACTTCCATGAATCTGAGCATGAAATATAGGAGGAGAAAGGGCTGCTTTTGTAGATGTAGAATTTGTACCTACCTTTGTATGCTTTGATTCATTGTCATTCATTCAGTAAGTAAATGGCAGCAAGGAAATTTGCTATGTAAGGGTCAGCTAAAATCCCATTGTCTTCTAAGACTGGGCAAAAGTGGTTGTTTTTGAAAGAGGTTTCCACTGCATGTCTCAGATTTGGGATATTTCCTGAGCCACAACAGGCTGAGATTTTCTAGGGGGGAGGGAAAATCAGCTCCCTTTTGTTGTTGACACGTGATGTTCTGATGGTCAGAAATGCTTGGTGTCTGAGAGCTCCCACCCAGAAACTACTTATTTATTAATACTTACTTGAAAAAAAAAGTAGAAGAAATCGTGTTAGTTCAATAAATAATGAGGAAAACAAAATCAGCCAAAGTAACCATGTAGGTGTTTGTTTATGAGTGCCACCAGAGGGAGAGCTTCCATCCCTCAAAACCTCAGTTTTATGTGTAAGTGATGACATGAAGAAAGCAGCTCACTGCTGCCACTTCTGAGCTATTGTAATTAAAGGAAAAACAAACATCTGGAGCAGCTGTAGGTTTTGAGAAAAACTGGCTTTGGAACTTGGCAGGAGGTAGCGAGCACTTGGTATGGCCTTAATGTTACACATCTCAAAATCTCTGTGTGCTTGGTAACCTGACATACAGTTTGTACAATTTTTCTGCTGGATGAATAAATATGAGTTGCTTATAAATTGCTTATAAATGCAAAAAAACCCCAAACCCCGAATTCTTTACAGCAGCCAGCATGCAGTCAGATGTGGTCATCTTCATGAGCCAGGCTTCTTAGTCCTTCAGGTGCTTGGCTCTGACTTTGCTGGATAATCTGAATAATAATTTTACCTTCATCATACGCACCCGGTTGTGCACAGAACTGATAGCATCATTTAGTTACAGGTCTGATGGGAAAATAAATGTTAAATCTGATTTTTGTTGTATGTCTTTTCAGGTGGAATTGAAACAAAAATCTTAACTGATCAACAGCTGATGGTGATTGCAAAGTTGTTTGGTAGGCAGTGGAGAGAAATTGCCATTGAGTGTCTCCAGATGGTAATGAAAGACATTGAGCAGATTCAGGCAGCGGAGGAAGAAGTTAATATGCAAAAATTTCTGGTGTTAAGCAAGTGGAGAGACAGAGAGCAGAGCAACGGAACTGCAGAAGCTCTGTACAGAAGTCTCCATGAAAAAGCGTCCTATGAGATACTGCAAACCCTACAAGGTATCGCCTTCCCATTCTATTTATTTAATTACATCAGTGTGTTTCAGATACGTTTTAAGAATTCACATCAGAGAGTTTACCGAGTACCTAGAATATGTTTTACTACACAATTGTCTCCCTTCTCATATTAGCAATGACTTTCTTTCTTGTGGCTTTCCTATACTTCCCTTCAGAAACTGATACAAAATGAATAATGTTTTTGCACTAAATATGGTGGGAGCACTCTCAGTATGACCTAGCCATCATGGCTAAACCCATCGGTATTATAGATGTCCAAAGAAGAGATGTTTGGGTCTTTCCTCTTATGTATTTTAGAAATGGTTTGTTAACATCTTCTCCTGACAGATGATGGAGCTGTTTGTTCCTGCAGACTCCTTACGTTCAGTTCAGCCTGCGTGTAGCAAAGTTGTTCAGTGGGCTGAGAACTCGGGCAGCCAAGGGGAACCTTTCTCAAAACCCAAATATATATAATTTTTTTTGCAACAGGCAAAGCTTTGCTCTTTCTTAACTCTTCCTAAAAACAGCCTGGCTTCCAAGCTGCTCAAGCTCCCTTCCTCACCTGACCCTCGCAAACCTATCCGTGCTGTAGTCTTGTGCTGCCATGTAGGCTTTCAATGCATTCAGTGTTCAACTTGAATACTGCAATAACTTGGAGCAATCAGATAATCTGTGTGTGCCTGTGTGTGTCCCTTTCCCCAGGGTTCTCGGCTGGGTGCTGAGCTGGTGGAGCTGCAGACTGAAGGAGCGAGTGGGAGCTTCTCCAGCCGCTTCCCCGGCATCTTGCCGAGGTTCGGGAAGGAAGATGCAAGGCATCATCACACAGTGGGAAGTTTAGGCAGCATCTTCACAAGAAATGTGAATGAAATTTTGTGCGGCTAGAAGCCCATGTAAGACTTTCAGGAGCAATTACTCGTGTGGTGGATCCTGGCATCATGGCCGGCAGTGCCGGGCTTCAAGTCCACAGAAACCCAACGCTGCTGCCTGGATTTGTCTCATTTGAGCTAGACCTAAAAGATGGGAACACTGGAAGAAACCACTTTACCTTGTTCAGGTATATGATTGTTAGCTGGAAATATTTTTATTGATATCAGGGAAAAACAGGGAGAAAAGTTACACAGAAACTTTCATCCCCTAAAAAAACAAAAGAATTGACCTGCCAAAATCACGAGGTACATTGTATTTCTCACAAATGCCCAAGATCAGGGAAGAATAATGCTAAACTTGCAGATAAACTCCTTTTCATAATCACTGTATAGATACATAATTACTGTATATACTTGTGTACATTCAGTCCTTGTTAAGCTGTGGTTCTGTTTTTCAAAAACCCAAAGACTGGTTTCGCGGGAGCACCGCTATGAACTCCAGGCAGCTTTGAATTTCCCCTGGAAATTTCTTCTTCACTCTTTTCTATGTAGTCTGTCTTATTTTTGTGAGAATTTTTAATGTTGTATAAGTTTTTTTGTATTATAAACTTTTTATACTTTTTTTTTTTTTAGATTTGATTAATTTTAACTTGACTAGAATTAGGTGCTTAAACAAAAATGGGAGAAGCCAAAATCTCTGCAATGGCTGTTATTCTGTCAGCAATGCACGGACTACAGAATTGTGAAAGATGGAAATAATGTTATTTACAGAAGAGAGCAGTGACCCAATAAGGTAGATTGTCTTGTTTTTAAAGACACGGGATTATTTGGATCCAACTTCCTCTGTGTATGTTTATGAAAGAAAAAGGATACTTTTAAAAAATAAGGATTAAAAAGGAAACATTTCTACTATTTAAATATGAATTTTCATTTTTAAAAAATTTTAGCTGTTGGGTGAAATGTTGCAGGATTGTTGTATATCATGGGCCATCTTTCTGACCCTTGATGCTTCATGGACATCCCAGGGGTGGCTGAGGGAAAGGGCTGTGTTGATGCCCAGGACCTTGTGGGCTTTTCTGCCAGGGGGACTTTTAGGTGGGAATAAAGCTGTGAGAGACTCGTGTGGGGCTCTCCATGCCCAGGTGGGGCTGCCCTTGGCTCTTCTTGCTGGTTCAGGTGGGGAGAAATTGCTATCAGGGGGATCTTTAAGATACCTGATTAAAAAAAAACAACAAACTCTAATAGGACCTTCTGGGCAAAAGCAGAAATCAGGAAATCTAAGCTTGAAATAAGATGTGTCTTTGTAATAATGAGGGCAATTGGATGGCCTAGCAGATGGTCAAAAGAATCAGAATCATTATGGTTGGAAAAGACCTCTAAGATCATTAAGTCCAACCATCAAACCAACACCACCATGCCCACTAAACAATGCCCCAAAGAGATAAGATCTTCAGCCTTCAGCTTCTTTAAATCAAAATCAAGAAGCTTTTTAATTTTTAAAAATATTTTTTTAAATGTATGTTGTATTTCTGTGGTCTTTAGTTTGGTTTTGTCCAGTTCTTGAAGGCAGAAGGAATGAGAACATTGCAGCTGCATAAGGACATCGAGGCATGAGGTCGCTCTTACCTTCTAACTCTTGGTCTACGTTGGGGGTGGTCTGTGGGAGCAGAGACCATCAGAAAGCTCTAGGAATTTAGAAGATTACATTTGAAGGGCTGGTGTGGTGTGTGGGTACCAGCGCTTGGGGAAGAGGATGAGGATGGCAACTGTCCCCTTGACATCTGGAAGGGCTGGGGATCCCACCAGCCCCTCGGCATCAAATGGGGCTGCTCGGGGGTCTCCAAAGAGATGGGAGGGCAGAGCTTGGAGAAAACAAGTAAGGGAAGAGAGCCTAAAAACACACAAAAAAAGAAAATCCACAACAAACACGTCTGATGTAAGTAAGGAGACGGAAATGGGATTTTAAGACGTGGTACCAATGCTGGATGTTACTGTGGTATACTGCTTATGTGCCAGCGGTATTTGAAGTATTTTAAAAGGGTGATCAATATGACATTATTGTGTTGATTCATGTTATCTCAAAGAGGAAAAAAAAGTCACCGCATTTTTTTACGCAAACTTTAATTTTATTAGGCAATAAATAGAATAAATAAAGAATGTAATAAATAATTTGATTATTATAAATATGATTCAATTTCTGAAAGTTATGGCTGAATAAATAAAACAGTTAAGGCAAATTACAGTTGAGTGTTGGGTGGGTTGAGAACAGTTAGGTACTCTGATGTAGCTTATTTTCTAGAAATCCAGAAGTTTAACCACGGTAGCTTAAAAGGTGCTGACAGCAGTTCACTAAAACATGATTTATAAGAAACTCTGTGAAATACCATGTGCTCAATTCCTAAAAAGCTCTCAACCACCTTGCAGGGGATTGACCCTATTTTTTCTTCATAGCATCCTTAGGTCAAACCTCTACCCAAGGGCTGGGTGCTTATGAGCTCTCTGGGGAGGCCAGGTAGTTCATCATCCTGTTGATGGTGACGGTGCGGATTAGGAAGGCGTGAAGGACACCACAGAGCCTCAGCCTCTCCTTGAAGGAGGTGAGCCCTGTGCCCGCCAGCTGCTGTGGCACACTCCCACCACTGGTCTTCAGCACCTGGAAAGAGGTCGGGGTATTACAAACTATCACCAGAAAGGACCTCTAAAAAAAAAACCTCTTTAGATTTTTTCACCTGCCGAGTGATAAATGACAAGGCTTAGAAATATGAACATATTCTCATCCATGAAAAATTTGAAATAAATAATCAAATAATAGACTTAGGATAAAATTTGAAATATTCAGTGGTATAATTAATAGGCTTAGGATGCACAGCTGTATTTTCCTTGAGACAAATATGTCCATTTGTGCACAAAGGCTCTTTCTGCCCAGGAATAAAGATGCTTTTTAAACAATACCCTATGGCAGGCTTTGCCTAGTGACCCCTGTGACTGGGCTCATCTGCCTGTGGCCAGAGTCTCCGGGCTATGGGGAGACTCTGTCAATAGAAAGGCAATTAATTTTTTTTAAATAACTTTTGTTAAACAAACAAACATGCTTTTAACATCTATTTCTTGTACTCACTAACAATAGTTACCAAAATTCACACATCCTATTTCATATTCAGTATACCAGGTGTATTATATTTCAGTATCTGGAAGAGAACTAGGGCTAAATCCCTTTTACGCTTATTTTTTACTCTGTTTTTGAGTTCTCGGCAGCTCTGTAGGAACTGACAGAAAAATCCTGTACCCCATCTCCTTGTGAGAGTGGAGCAGTGTGAAAGGACAAGGGCTGCCAAGGAGCCGTACATCACGGTCCCAATGTACTGACTGTATCAGCAAGGCAAAAATATGAGGTGAGACACAAATTCCTAAGAATCAAGTCCCTTCTAGGATGAACAGCAACAAACAACTTTAAAAAATTACCAAATTGAACAAAGTTCATTATTTACTGACTACAGAACGGAGCGCACTGGGCTGAGAACTCAGTTTTAAGGCAGAATAAGTAGAAAGGCAGGAGGCAGAAATACTTACTTTCATCATTTCATCAATAGTTGTCAGCACCTTCTGATCATCAAAGTTCTTCAGCTCTGTCCTGTAGGCGTTCAGGTCCTCGTAGATGCCCTGCAGGCACTGACTCTGCAAAAGGCAGAATTATTAGGAAATGTGGGAATCTGTTGTTAAATGTTTTAAATGTAAAACAAACAAAAGAAGGGGTTATTTTGGGAAACTTGCAATTTACCGTATCAAAAGTAGATCTTTCCAGCACTGGACAGTTTCTAGTCTGCAAATTAAAGAAGAAATGAGACATGGTGATTTTGTGGAAGTGTGAATTATACAGCTTTTCCATTAAAATTTGATGTGGAAACTTTATATA